ATTCTTTGAGTAACTCAGTAATCAGCCTTCTGTCCTACGTCAAACCCCCTCAGTGCATAAACATATGCTGTATTTTCACAGTTCAGCTCCTTGTTAACATTTCTATTGAAAATTCGGAAGCAACTTAAACGGGCTATTGGGCACAGACGAACTTCGTCTCTGTTACCTGAGAAGATAAAGAAGTTTTTCGGCAAATCTATCCGTTAGGAAGCCACCGTGGCCAATTGTTGTTCTAATAATGCGTTAAGCGTCACCAGATTATTAGATTTTTGACGCAAGATTATGACACTGTAGTTGCCAAATGACAGCACATTTTTAATCAACGTACGTTGAATTTAGATTGGAGGGCCGTACGATTCAGTCTTTATACGCGGACTGTGAGACGGAATCTCCCCCTTACTCTTGAATGTCAGTACGAATTTAGGTGCCTGAAATTCGATAGCAATGAACCATATGTTATTATCCAGCTGAACTTGGCAATTCATGACGAACCGCTTCACAATTACGGAAAACCATTCTCAGTTGATTGTAATAGATTTCGTTGAACTCTGGACAGCCATCATTGTGGCCCCATTATAGAAGTCGTTTCAAGCAGTGCATCCAGCTAGAGAGGAGTGTTGAACAATAAAATTCGCATTTCCAAGTTCACTATCACGTAGTCGGCTAGTCTGCTCATCAATATTTAGAACTTCAAGTTCCTCATCTGGATATAAAAAGTTCCCGTTTTCAACCGTGCTACTAAATTCTGTGCCCATTTCTTGAGGAGTGCACACCAAATTGTGTGTTCACCAGTTTTGCTTGCCATGTCCTTTCAACATTGGAAGATATACCGAGATGTTAAGCTCAATAAAAACAAGTTGCAACCGTAAAAATAGCCGCTTGTCACACAAGCATGAACATGCTGTCTGTATGGGGTGTGTGGATTATGAGAAATAAAGAGAGCACCAAGATACCAGGGCGGTCAATAACTTCTAGCAGATGTCAAGTGAACATGCACTTAGCCTAGCCTACATTGTGCTAAGGATCTTTCACTCTGCGATAACGACTAATATCTGCTTTGACAGTGTCTGTTTGGAAGCGGGTCGTCAAATTCTATGCGGGCATTTACTTTGTCCAGGGAAGTTTTTCCTTACTCGTCACACATTAGCTGAACTGCAGAAATATAGGCTTATCCTATAGCAGTAACCGATTAATAGTCACACTTTGTGCGGCTAAAGCGAAAGCTATATTCATGTCTACCGCTTTGTGGAATCAAAGCCTTCCAACAATGGATTTGGACACAGTCTAAAAGATCAGTTAAAAAACGAAACAATGGGTAATGAAGCTAGCTACTTATAGTAAATGACATTCAAAATCAAATGGATTTATATGCGTACCCACCACACGAATTAACGGATCTGAGCAAAGACCCATTCAGTTAGCTAAGAACTTTTACTGCAACACCGTCCTTCAGTCCTTCGACTAGACGAGGAACTAAACGAGACTGGCCAAGTCGGGAAAACGAAGTTGGGTGTAGACTGATTCTTCGTACTGCATTGACAGTCTTGGGTTTTATGCTCATCACCAAGAATGTACCATACTTGAACTCATATTATGTGACTTCCGTGAATGAAAACTAGAATGTCATAGTACGAACGAATAACTTATGGTGTAAGTTGACATTTTAGGAGCATTTGGACAAGAAAGATAAATTTATTGCCCTGACTGAAATCTCAAATTTATTTCATCCGGTGAGGTAGGAAGTAGTTGGAAGGGTTTGATGATCCCGAAAGCAAGACTGCCACACTACTATTTGAGAAGGATGGAACTTGCAAATAAGTTTGCTGTTATTGTGAGGAAATAAGATGTTTAATGAAAATTTCGTCCCGTAACTCAAGCCAATTTGAACCTGAAGAACTCACAGTCAAATCCGTATTGAATGTGTTTTCGTTTGTTTAGATTGGATTCACTTAAAAGACGAAAACTCCACAGCAAAGTTTTACATATGAATAACAGAGGTTCAGAGAAATCAACTTGTCAAAATTAATATCGTATTATCAGTAGTTAGATCTCAGAAATTTCAAATCGATGATTCACTTTGAACGAGGTTTTGGAACCCGGTGAGCACAAAGTGAAATTCTTATGATTTGAACGAAAGGATGGAATACAGTTTTGGATGATATACTTTTGAAGATGGATGACTCTCTCCTGTACAGATCTTATGGTATCTAATACGAAAGCTCTTGTGGTTTTCCAATATGTAAAAGATGCAGTTAGAAAGTGGTCAACTTTACCTGTCATCTTGCATAATAATGTCGTGAAATGAAGCCGAATTTTTGAAATTTATTGCAAAATACCTTGAAAGAAATTCAAGGTCAGAATACCTTCCTAACCTTCCTGTAAAAAACAATGACCGAAAATCTGTGTATGGACACTTCATTGGCAACAGTGTATCCTTATTTTGAACGACCCGATGACAATGATTCCAGCAGCTTTCAGAATAACAGTGAAAGATGTGATTTGCTGTTCGCTGAAAACGTAATGACGACGAGCATTTGGTCGGCTGACACTTGAAATGCAAGCTGACCTTGGCATTTAGCATGCAAAAACTTGGTCAGTAAATACCGGGAGTAAAGAATCAGTCCTCGTGGGTTGGGTGAGTCACGCATCCACTCACCGAACGACACAACGGCGAATGTGATGAAACAGTTGCAGATAACTGCCAGGTTGAATGAACACGTTCACTGCCACCAAGCCCCATGAACTAAACACACCACAGCTACCGGTATTTCAAGAAACTGCTAAGGTAATGGCCAGATCGCCGCGTACCCAAGGAATATTCATCTAAGCAAAAGTACAGTGACCGTCATGCTGAATTCCGAATAGCTTTGATGAATGGTCCAAATGTGTGTCACAAAATGTCATCGTTAAAAGTGCACGGGGATAAATTATACTGATGGTATAGAGCGAATTAGTTATATTTGATCAGGTGGAGAAGCAGTGAAGAAGGACAGTATAGAGCTCACACATGTGACTATCCTCTAAGAGAGCGCTGAAAGCTTTTCGACAGCGGAAAGATTTCCGACATCTTTCAGCTTCGAAACAAGGGGTCAGAGGCTCAAACATTCAACCGGAAACCCTTTGATTGAATACTCAGAGCAAGAAAACAAGCTACTGTTGAGGAGAATGGAATTTCAGCATGATAGTGGCAGGCAAAACAGCGGCAATATTCCTACCCTCATTAACTAAAACTAGGACGTGGATGTGTACAAAATGCCAGGGTTTTTAAAAAGCCATGTATGCATTACAGATCAGAATGAGCGCCAAATTGCAACTAACACCTCAATGGTTTACTTTTATATGCACTTAATTTTTGAATGCAGACATACAAATCACGTCTCATATCAATATTTACCGAACTCTCTCCATCTGTGTTGGCTGTTTTCTTGTTACGAATTCTAGAGTATTTTTTCTATTACTCTCAGCCTCTAAATCGTGAGAGTCTTGGCGATCTGCAAGACCTAACCGAACGTGGCTGAACGTGAAAAACTGTAGACAAAGTTTTGGTTTGTGTGCTAATAGGATTACACAGCATTTGGTTCTACCATGTTTTCTAGGGGTTGTCTTGAACAGCTAAGCTAACCTCTCCAGAGGCACTACAGTCAAACTTTGATTCCACAATTGTTCTAACATTCTTGATTCAAAACTGGAATCCGTTACCATCAACCAAGCGTAACTTACGCAGAATGGGCACAAGTAGACACACCAAGGAGGCCCAGTTAAGAATTTATTACTTTTAAAGGGGCTTAACCATTAATATGTGCCAGAATATTGTGGACGATGTTCTCGGAAGACTGACTGTTTTTATGCTGGCCTACTTCATCATCATCATCATCATCATCATCATCATGGACAGCATGACATAGCGTTCAAAATCGATGCTTGGCTGCTAATCTATTTAGCCGAGTTTATGTGTAGACTTGTATGGAATGTTGACGTAACTAACCATAGGACCTCTATGCCAACTTGAAAATTGCTCTTTTTGAAAAGAAGCACCCAAAATGTATTTCATTTATTCATGCGCATTCAATAGACTAATCTCAGCTCTGGGTTTTCAAACGCATCACATGTGGGAGCTGTCATATGGTCCCCCTAATTCCGTGGTCTGGGTTCGATTTGAACTTTCAGATTGTTAGGATTGAATTTGTGGCCTTGCCCCGTTTTTCAATTGGGATTTCTCTTCAGGTCGTTTCTCACAGATGATATGAACTGGAAACATGTTAAAAGATCAACCACTCAGCATTTGGCCTTAGTCATGTCCTAGGCCATGATCCTTCCCTGGAACATTACAAGTAATTACTACGATGCTGTGTAAACGCCGCATATGACATTTGGGACTTGGGATTATGGACCATTTCACAAAGGACTGCTTGGATATGATGGAAATAATACACTGCTCTGGGGAGGGTTTCTATGCACGTGTATCACTTATACTTAAGAGAGTATCCATCTTCTCCTGTTATGAACACAGCTTGATCTTTATGCAACTTTAACAGAAGTGAGCAGGAACCGTAAACAAACGGGTTTTATGGGGACTATTTTAATTTCACAACAATGGAAAATTTTTTAACTTATTCCCTTCAAGAAGAAATAGCGAGTTATGTTCCGCATGGTGGACAGCAACATGTGTATCAGTGTAACGAAGTTTACGTCCAACAATAAATTTTGCATCTGATGAGCCAGAATGTTGAAAAATCATTGTTCAAACCAATGAGCAAATTGAAACAAACTCTCCTAGATTATTTTCCATCTTCGGTGGCGTCAAACTACCATAGACAGTGGTTCAGACCTGGTAAGTAGACTCATAATATCTTAATTTCAATAAGATCCTCAAATTCCGCCAGCAAGTGTGCTTAGTGGGAAACGTAAAAGGCAATAGAATTCACATGTCTACATTCGACGCGGGGCTAAAGATTGCACACTCCAAATATTCAGCAGTTTACCATGACTTATAAACGTACCCGAACGGTCCACGTCAATGGCATAAAATGCCTCGATGAAAGCATCCATTGCTGTGAGATTTGATCAGTTCTATTCTCCAAACTAACAAGACTCCCAGCGTTACTGCAGTAGCACACGTTTAATTTTCGCCTACTGCACACCGAGTCAATTGCCGTAGCGCCGACTGCATCGACCAACGGAAGCGACCACGTGTTTCGGACGTCTGCGTAGGCGACTCGATGTGACCAATGAGAGAGAGAGCGCGCGCGTTTAAGTGGCACATGGAAAACTTACCGCTGATTGGCACGAGAAAACAGACGTGAACGATTGTTCGGACGTCAGGCAGGCAGTTATATTTTAAAATCATAGCCACTGCCTCTGAAACCCTGAATCGATGAGTGTTTTACCCACGTTTTCTATTTCGCGCGTAGTTGTTTGGAGCTGGCCGGCTGAAGTATTCAAAATATCTATCTTGGTAAATCTGTATTTTTAGTGGAGTGTCATGCCTTAGAATAACTGAATCATGATGCGATATACTAGGGCAAAATGCAACACAAATTGACGTTGGGTGTTAGAAGTAAACTGCTGTTAACGATAGCTGATTAGAGCCTGACAACGTAGAGGACATTATATGCGAGCAGATAATCACGCATGTTTTGATCACGCGACCAGCAGGATGCGATTCAACAAGCGAATTATAGCCCGGTTTGTGACGGATGCCTCGTAGTGAGTGCACGCCACCGAATTTTGCGCACTGCAGTATGCTTGCTGAGGAAGCGCAATGGTTGTTAGTATGGACTGGTGTTACTGAAAATTTTCCGGTTCGTGGAAAGACTTGTTTGTAGGTTCGAGATTGTATCTCGCAACTAGGGCTCATATATGCGCCTGTTTCACCACTGACTGAAATAAAGAACGGTGCGCGTCCAACGACTCTTCAGTGAGATTCAAGGTCGAAACATTCCAAAACATCGTTGAAAAATTATCGGTTGGACCATGGGTGCTGACCAACAGTGTGATTTACTCACGATGATGTAGGTTATTGCGCCATTTTTTCCTTCACGGAATACACGTACACAAATTGATGGCATCTCAAAACCCAACTGTGCCATATCTGCAGAGTAGACCACTGTAAATTTAGAGGTTTCGGGCTTAGGACTATTAAAATCCGGTTATATCTTGGTATTACGGGGTTATGCTCCGCTGGGTAGAACGATGGTTATTTGAACTCTTTAGTCCACGTTGTCTACCAGCTACTCATCCCCAGGCGCTGTTAAATTTTTTTGTACTTCACCAAATTATGACGTCGGCGAACAGTTGTATTTTGTTACTTCGTACTCTGTTTCCTCCCACTGACTAGAATAAACAACATAGTTTGGCACTTTCCTCGGTCGGTCAGTAACCAGGGAAGCTTAACCGCTATATTATTTTTCTATTATTGAGAACGCACAAGGTGTCTTCATTATGTTAGAATTCTTTTGTGTGGAGGCAGTGTTCCTAGTGCGAATGTGCTGCCGGCTGTTTTGATTCATTCATGAAGTTTCCAACGTAATGTGTGGGCTGATAGTATTTCTTACCTCCAGTATTTGGCTCATGAACCAAAGGACCACGTGTTTCTTGACGTAGCTCCTGACGGTCTGAAAGAATTTGTAACGAATTGTAACGACAATGGCCATCTCCATATGTAAGAACTCTATTGATTATCTTGAATGGGAAACACTCGAAGAAAAATCTATCATCGTTGTTCATGCCTAAGGAATCCATATGTGGATCCCAATTGGCCATTTCGTGTGTTTATCCGACCGATTCATAATGACATTGTTCAGCTGAATGTGCCGCCCCATGTTTCTTTTGTACAGCATTTGAGATACCTCAGTATAATACCTTAAATAAACACCACTCGTAAGTTAGAAACATAAACGTAAGGCTGTGTTTGTGCATCACATTCTGTCGAAAAAAAGCATAAACGAGAAGTTTATCTACGTTCTGCGTGTCCCCCTGACTTCAACTTGGTTTGCATGTTTACGTTGCAAATTTAGTTGGGAAATTATGGGAGCTGAGCCCCTGACAATGGGTTGCAGTGACCTTAAATGTAGCGGTTTCTGTCCAGACAATTTACTGCGATACCAGTCCATGCAGATGAAGTTGACCGAGGATTCCAGATGGGATTCTATGGATTCCTTCAATGGCTTGCGAGCCGCTGAGAGGCTGATCTCCTGGCTCATGTCCTTAAAGCTGCTGTTTCATTTTTGCAGAAAACACGTTAGAAGTTGTGGTCAACTTTTTCCAACCCACAACTCGCACGGAAGGCGACAAAATAATTTCCGGCAGTGGTTAAAAATTGTATTAGGATTGCCACCGGAATTAAATTCAAAGCAACGACGACCATATGTTGAATGACTTGTACCGATACTACATACATACGTGGGTAACTTAAGCCTTCAAGTAGGAGCGACTGATAAGCACAGCTCGAATATGCACTCTGCATAGGGCTGCTAAACATCTAAATGACACATGAAGAAAACACTTGTTGTAGGTTTTAGCAGACACAGGTTTGATCACATGAATTTACTGTTTAGGATTACTTTGGCTACTACTCGCCATCCAGTGGAAGTCAGTAATTTTTATTGATGAAAATGAACTGAGCCATTTGGGACAAACATATCTACCGAAATCTGAAGGTGCACTTAGGTAAACCAGATTACCCTAAAGAAGAAGGCCTTTCCAAAGATGGAGGACTTAAACTGACCTCCTAGGTTACGCTGCTTGGGTCTATTTCATGAGTGAAAGAACCGAGATTTGGATGTTGTATGACATGTCAACGTAATATGAACGCATTATCCAATGAATCCGTGTTGGTTGACAACCCCCGATCCCTGGATGGGGACCATAAGACCAAAGTCACCAACGGTTAACGACAACGACATGCCACAATCATGTGGTCGGTGGCACTCGTACGTCAAAGCTATTACGTTCAATACGCGGCCACTCAGTTTCCCCAAATAACTCATCATGGCATCGCATCCAGTGTTCGACTACATCTCCCACACCCTCTAATTTTCCTGTCATCGAGATTGTATCATATCGAATAAACGTGTTCTTAGAACATCATTTATTGCCCAGAAAGTGACTGACACCTCCATGGGGAATCACATTTTAACTACTAGGCTTCATGACATGGCTGCCCATATTCGCCCATATTGGCTGGTTTCATTGGCGTTTTGACAAGGAAGAGGGAAACAGCTGCAGCTCAAACAGCTGAGAGTGCCTACGATTTCTAATGTGACTCACTCTCAATAGTTAAAAACACTCCTCCCTTTGCATCGTGTGTGCATGTGAGCCGCTTACGTCCCCCGTGGGAAACTTACACCCGCATCGGATCAACTAGTGTCGTTTGACACCATTTTGATCATTAAGCAATTTTCACTTCGCAACTGGTGCCAGAATGTCAGAGCTGTTCGCTGGGTGTTATTTTATGTACCTCACATAGAGTGAGTACACGATCTCCTAGATAGTTGGGGAACGTTTATCGACAACAAGATTCGCCCAAAGGTTTTAGATGTGATGTGGGCTTGCCAAGGACGCTGCTTGAGAGGAAACCAAAAGCGTGTCTTTTAGAACGAAACCGTATGAAAAACCAAATCTGTGCAAGTAGATCTGAGTGAATACTTTAGTCGCAAAGTTAGTCACAGGCCTAAAAGTTGAGGAATATTTTCCAATATTTCAGTACTTCAATTTTTTCATCCTAGCGTAGGCAATTTCGAAAAAATAAGGGATTCGTACGAAAACAACTGAACATGTTTCTGGCTTACTGCTGGTGTTCATGATATTTATTCATTGGACTCTCCGAACACAGAAGACAAAATCCTCAGGGGCAAACATCTTGTACTACATAATAAAAATCAGGATAACAAATACACTGAATAAAATGTGCTTTACAACCATAACTGTAAACGGTTTAAGGGTCAGTATCGCTCACAGAATAACTGAATTCCAGTTTTAACTGGAATAATTAAACATACAGGTCTCAAAACGCCTGCACAGTTTTCATATATCTTCACGTTGTATATGTCAGGGAAATATAGCTCATCAAAATAAACTATACTAGATTCGGTCACGATCATTTCCACCAAAATTTTTATTTCCGTACAAAAAGGCTGAGCCTCGATCATTATAACCGCGGTGTCCATATTCAAAGAATTAAGCTCTTGAGACTAGCAGAAAGCGTCATCATATTTGTACGTCTAACTGATGGCCATTTTACTCCACCAGAAATCTCGTATGGGTAAAATGCAACACAACATCCAGTCTAAAATTTACATGGGTTTATAGAAAGCGGCCGAATATCATACTGAGGTCGATACAAAGTGGTCCCTAACTAGAAACATGCATGGTCATTTTTCCGAAGGCTTTTTTGCCGATTTGGGTTAGGTCTAATCCTGACTAACGTATGCAAGAGTGCTGCGAATGCACTGTAGTGATATGGGCTGATTGGACACAAGTCCTGAACTCTCCTTTTATCTTAAAAAGCCCAAAATTTGAGCTGAGTTATCTTTATTATACTATTTACTCAGATGTTGATCCATCACACCCACCAAATGAACGATTGGCGGTAACACAAATTTACGTCTTATTGGTTTCCAAACTACCAACCTTTCTCCTGGTACTACGGGAAGCTAAACAAAAGAGGAGATTATTCTGTGCATACGGAGCCAAATAAATAAATACGGGTTGTGCAAATCACGCAGTGATTTGTATTGTTTCATCATTTTTTCAGTTGGCAGAGTATTCTCACGAGCTCTTATCGATTGTTTGTTTGGATGATCGATGCAAGACACTGAGCCTGCGGACTCATAGGATGAACAATAGAAACATACATGTGCACATAAACTGATAGACGTACTCCTCCAAACCAAATTTTGTGGGTCTCCAAATCTGGTAGGATTATACACAGACTGCTGAAAACATGCATTTATGCGGTCTTGTTTCTGACACATCACACCAAAGTTTAGACTGGTTAAATTGCAGCCTGTTACCCTACTAAACATACGTGCGAGTTTCGTTGATGCATTCTGAACAAAAAAGTTACAGACACTTGTTTGAAATGATCAAAATAGGGCATAAAGATAAAAGGGCCCTGAAATTTAGGATTTTGTTATAATTCTCATCATTTTAGTC